AAAGAGTGACCGGGATCAGAATCAATGAATACGGCGTCATTAGAGACAAAAATTTCAGGCGATGAAGGGTCCGAGGTGGAGAGGCGATTGGACTCGCGGCCGGTGAGGCCGTCGATATCCGGCCGGGAGGACTTCAACCAGCCAAGTATGTGGTCAAAGGAGCGATTCTCCATGACTACAACAACGATCGTCTTGATTGGACCCTTGATCTCGTGCTTTTTCTTCTTCCCCCAACCCAAGTCGACACAGTGGGCGGAGATAACTAAGTAGAAGAAGAAGAAGAAGAGAGAAAGAGCATGGAGCCGGGATCGCCGCCGTTGGACATCCATTGAGAGACTAGGTCTCCCGGAAACCCTAAGGGGCCGTTGGTCGCCGGCGATTTACCGGTATCGAGCGCGGGATTTGGAGTAGGAAGCTGGAAACGCTGAGCAGCGTATCTTCCAACAAGATGGAATGGAGACGCAAATGCAGGGCCTTCATACATGATAATATATGTTTTATTTTTTTAAAATAAATAATAGAGATATTTTTAATATAATATTAAGGATTTAAATAGCATGTATAAAAATATAAAAATTTATGTATTAAATATGTAAATATGCATGAAATGTGTGGTATCAATGGCAATGCCCTCTTTATTCTTAAGTTATATAATTAAATTTATTACACAAAATACCTATGGAATATTTATTCTTTCTATTATGATTTTTTTTAATAAGAGAATTACTTATTTTTTTTGTTTAAAAATTATGCTACATATTTGAGCACATTATTTTAATAATTTAAATAAATTTATATTTTTAATCTTACACCACTCATTTGCCCTAAAGAGGCCTATAGTCTACGTACATCAAACACTAAAGTTTGAATTGATCTGAGTTTTTCAAACTTTGCAAGCGTTGATTATAAAGATTTAACTTAGTTTGATTTATGAATAGGAAGGTTAGACTTAAACCTTCTTAACCAATTATGATAGGTCCTAGAAAAACCTATAATAATTGAACAATACAAATGAAACATAGGGTTGGCCACATGTGGCATCATAAAACCCAGGTTAAGGCTAACTAATTTAAAGTTCTGAGTTAGAGAAATTCTAGTGTTTTGGAACCCTATCAAACTTATATTTATTCTTCTAATCCTACATAATAGACTAGATATCAATTGAGTTTGTTTTAAGACCAAAGTGACCTTATGAGGTAAGGTTAGTGCTAGGGTAGTTTAAGCATTCCAATAAGGTATCATTTAGACTTGGATTTTTTAAGTTTAATTTATAGGGATCTTAGAGATATCAATACACCTAGGCATAAGAAAATCTAAAAGATATAAAAATTTTATTTGAATTAATATAATTAAGTATTTATAGCTCTGTCTGATAAATAAATATTTTATTCGACCTATGTGAAAGAATGTATTGACAAAATGTGAAAAACATATCTAAGTATGATTATTGATCTTTAAATTAAGTTCACTATATTTATTTAGGTGACTAATAATATAATTATCATATCAAACATAATCAAATAAACTTAATACACATACATAATAAAAATATAAACTAATTGCACTTAAAAAATTCAGAGAGGTGATCACTAATATAATAATTAGCTAATTGAGTGTCGTGAAAAATAAAATTAAAAAAAAACATGATTAAAATTATTTTTCTAATAAAGAAAGCCGATGATTTTGTGGAGTAGGTGATTTTTATGCTGAGTCCTTGCAAACATCTTATTCATATTTTAATGCTCATTAAATATTTAAAAAACTTTTTAAAACTATTCTATAATCCAAATAGATTTTGAAATTATAAATTTGTCATTCTAAAGGTGTGTTTGGGACAACTATAGCTTATTAATAAGCTACTGATATTTAAAAAACTTTTTAAAACTATTCTATAATCCCAAATAGATTTTGAAATTATAAATTTGTCATTTTAAAGGTGTGTTTGGGACAACTGTAGCTTATTAATAAGCTACTACAAAATAATCTGTTATTCAAAAAACTGCAGTAGCTATTACAAATTTTTTTTTATTGGGGGTGGGGGTCGGGTGGGCAACCTGACCGCGGCTTTAAAGCTGTCACCGCACCTAGTCAAAAACAGTATGAAAATTCTGATTTCAGCAATTTTAAAACACAACTTAAAAGAAAAAAAAAATTGTCAAAACTCAAATTACCTAAATGGTCCTTAGTTTATGACATGTTGACTTTTATCCCAAAAAAAAAAAAGCCAAAAAATCAGCCAAAGACGTGGCTAAATAAAAAGCCGCATAGAATAATGGTTCAGAACAAGCAAGCGTAGAGCTCGCATAGGTTTGGCTGAGCGTCACTATTTTGAAAGCGAAATAATTTCATTTTCCCCCCATAAATTGGAGGTAATTATTTGCAAATAAACAATTTATGAGCGAGAGCTTGACAAGTGTGAGTTAGCTTCAAAAGAGATGAGTGGGAATATACTTTGCAAAGGAAATGAATGCGTGGCATATACGCACAACAAGTGCTTCTTGTCCAAATCAATATACTTAAAAGAAATTGATGCTAATCAAGTTAAGTATAATTGCGCTTGAGGTGGTAAATGTAATTTTAATGAAGGAAAATTTACATACATATTGCACAATTCTTATGAATTTGTATATCTAACAACTAATGAATATATAATGCATAAAATTTTATATTTTTTTTCGTAGCATTTGATTTCATAACCCTTTGGGCATAGCGTAGTTCCGCCCCTATATGAGATGTAGATCATAGCAAATTTTAAATATCTGTTTGGGACAGTTGTAGCTCATTTAAAAACAAATATGAAGCTATTGAAAAATAATCTGATGTTAAAAAAGAAGATGTGACAATTATAATTTTTTTTTTATTTTTTTGAAAAAGTCGTACCAATGTTGGAAAGCTGACACCGTTCCTAGCCAGGACCAGTTGGGAAATACAGATTTCAGTGAGCTTTTTGAAAATGTTGTCAAAATGCAATTTATCTAATCAGACAAAACTGACCGCACCACCACCCCAAACAGATTAAAGTAATATTTTTATCATCTCAGTCTTAAAAAATCACCAAATAACCTCTTCCATGGTAATGTTAAAAATTTGTATTTGATGTAATTTCACAGTTTGAACTTTAGAGTTAATAACCTCTTCCATGGTAATGTTAAAAATTTGTATTTGATGTAATTTCACAGTTTGAACTTTAGAGTTAATAACCTCTTCCATGGTAATGTTAAAAATTTGTATTTGATGTAATTTCACAGTTTGAACTTTAGAGTTGGGAGTGAATAATATTAAATGCATTGGACCTTTGCAGCTAAAATAAGTTTTTGGTGGCATTGTTTGGGCAAATAAGTAATGCCAAGTTTTCTATGGATGCAACGTAATAATTAGTGCCAATTTTGGGCAACTACAGCTATTGAATGTAGTCATGAAGTTATCACATAAGAAACTATTTTTCAAGAAATTATGTTAGCTATTACATTTATTTATTTATTTATTTTTTGCAGCTTTCTAGCAATCACCACAATTATGGCTCATTTGGGATAGCTTTTTGGTTGCTTTACTTTTTAAACCACCACTACAACCCTGTTTAGGGAAACTGATTTCTCGGTGCTTTCTAGAATTTTCTGTGATAAAAAATCTATTTTTTTCAATATGACCTGTTAAAATGTGGTGATTGTCAGAAATTTGTGGTCTAACTTTTTAAAATTAAAATAAATTTGTAATGATCACCACAGCTTTTTGAACTTCACAACTACCTCAAACAGTTGCAGAGCCTGTTTGGAGCAGCTGCAGCTGCTTGAAGAAACAACTGTGAAACTGCTATAGAAGAATTTGTTATTTAAAAAGTTAACGATGACTATTACAAAAAATAAAATTGAAAAAATCATAGTACAATTTTCTAACAACCACTGCAGTAAGTCCGGTCTAGTGAGAAACGCAGCTTTCAATTGCATCTTTTTGAAAAGACAGGTAAAACGTAATATTATCAATCAGAAAAAACTATTGTGCAACACCACATCGCAACCCCAAAGATAATAAGTAATTTTCTACCACAACTTCTTCAGAAAATAGAGGGCACAAGTGCCATCACCCCAAACACACACTTAATACCATAAACATGAAGAAGAAACAGACCAGGCCGACCAAGCTGTGAACTACATGCTAACGTACCCGCAAAAACTACGTGCTAATGGGGCCACAAATATAGCTCCTATAATTCAGTACCATATTATCTACAGTATTAAGAATATTTTTCTTTACTGAAGTTTTTTTAAATCTATTCTTCTATATATATGAGAGCCTCTTTGTTTGTACTAAAACCAGTTTATGTAAGAATGCATCTTCTGATATACTACTCTAGTATAAAGAAGCCTGAAATGGGATGAACTTTAGAATGGCATCCTTGAATGCTAGCAGAAGATCGAATCGAAACATAAATATGCATTGGTATAAATAAACGAGCATCGATGCATCAAAATTGAACCAAGAAGTCGTGTCGCCAAATCTCGGATGTGAAAAATGAAGGGTAACGTTTGATAGTCAATAACCATCACAAAATTTTTATCGAAAAAATCACGAAATGAATACTTTAGACATGTGCGTGTTGTATATTTAAAAAAAAAAATCTTTGATTTATTAGAATTAAATTGAAATATGACGCACAATATAACACAATGAGAACAAAAAAAAATCATGTAGCCGACCCCACCTAGTGAGACGAAAGGTGTGTTGCTATTGTTGTTTCAATCTCTAACCAAAGTATAACAAATACAAATTGAATTACCAACTTATAATGAATCATTAAAATCTTTCGGATTAATATGTGGGATAAAAAATAAATATATATATATATATATATATGGAAAACTACAGTAAATGAGAGGGCATTTCTATTTTCCAACATATTAAGAGAAAAAAGAAAAAGAAAAAACAGAAAATGGCCTACAAATTTACACAAGCAAAAAGTGAGATAAAGGAGGAATGAATTGCAGTCAGAAAGAAGATTTTGGAGTACAAGGAAACTAATATCAGTCTTCTGTTGCAAATTATGTCAGCTTTCCTCATCTTCAGAATCTGTGGAGGTATTTGATGATGTTAGTAACTAGGAGATGTTTGCATACAATACTTCAAATGAATTATTCAGAGAATAAAGATCATAGTTAATAGGCAGCATAAGTTGGCTCAATAATTAGCTCAAATTTGATTGAGCTTGAGATCTTTCAACTCACTTGGACTAAGAGTTAGCTTGACATTATATAAATTTAGTTTTCCTAGTATGTTTTACAATTATAACGACCATGGGATGAACATCTAAAAAATAGATGATATTTAGAAGGCATTTTAATTAAAATAAAAAATTCTTTTATGAAATTAAAATTGTCAGTGTATTTGGTGGTCATTGACATCTCTTGTTCATGCTAAGCTCATTTATAAATGGACCAAATAAGAATGTAATGTTGCAATTCTTCTCCCTAGTTAAGCTCATTTGTATTATACTTGATGGTTAAAAAAAGAGTAAAGTGTCAAAATAGTCCCCAACTATTTATATGGGGCCGTTTTAGTCCTAGAGTTTATAAACGTGTCAAATTAGACCCCAAAATTAAGGCTGAAATAATTTTCATGGAGGAATTTTGAAATAGTCGGGGACTATTTTGTCACTTCTATAAACTATGGGACTAAAATGGTCGCATGTAAATAGTTGGGGACTATTTTAGAACTTCACTCATTAATAAAACCACGATCAAGTATGGATCATTTACACCCTTAGCTCTTTCAAAGGCTCTGTAGAACAGCAATCAATAATAAAGGAAGTTCGTGAATGAACAAAGGATGTCCAACCAGATATTCAAGCTAATGAAAATTAAAACACAGTAAAGAAAGAAAAGCTTAATCATAAAAGGACATAATTTTACATATGTTAATTATAACAGCAATGATTTAAGGGTTCATCCCAAACGAATCAAATTTAGAACGGCCAAACATGAAAACAATTTGTAGCACAAGTCAGCCATAAAAAAGGTCGCCAGCACTATGGTATGGTATCACATTAAAATCACATTAGGCAAAATAAATTTAATCCTTGCTTGAATTGTGTAGCAACGATTAAAAAGAAATTTTAAAAAATGCAAAATCACCTATTTATGTGAAACACTTTCAATTTCTTTTTCTTTTCATTACCTTGTGCTTTCAATTGTATTACAAAAGGAGCATGACATGAAGAATATAATTTGCAGAATGACAAAACCAAGAGCCAAATTTTATCAATCTTCAGAAAACTAACCTGAACGAATATCTTCCCCCACTTTTCCTTGATTTTGAAGTTGTCTAATAATCATTGCACATATGAGTTTCCACCAGTAGATGTGGAATACCAGAAGCGTTAAAAGCATGACATTGAAAATATAATATGATGATCTAGAAAATTGACCAGACTTCATCAATGACTCGATCAAGTGGTAACTGAAAATTCAATGATAAATACTGTGAGAAGATATAGAAGAAAATTTTGATAATAATTGCAACAGAATTGTGTTTCTTTACCTTGATGTTTTGATTATCCAAAAGGGAAAGAATATCAATCGCAGCAAAAACCATGATAATGCAAAACAAGCAAAAAATAGGCTAGCTGCCATCTCCATCCCTGCATACTTGGAAACTTTTGCTGCTTCCAGAAATACATCGCTCGTATCATGAAGGGCGAGAATTACGGTTCCAATACGGAAAAAACTGTATTAACAGAAAGGCAGCAACTTTAAACCAATCATAGGATTGTTATGATAATGTACACCAAGAGCCTATCCACTTTGATGGGTTCAACTGCTTCATCAACAGCAGATAAGGAAAACTTTTGAATGTACGCTTCAAGAATGATTCTTCATAATAGGCAAAGTTGTATCTTGTTTATTCAGACTAAAAAAATACAAGGATTGGCGTCTAATGAATCTAAAAATAAAAGGGTATGAAATACATAAGGGATACAAAATTTTTAACTAACACAAGGTTTTTTTGAAATATGAAAATAATTAAAAAGTAACAACCCTACAGCTGTAACCAACCTCTGAGTATTTCAGGGGATATTCTCTATATTCTCTGTAGCAACTCTGTTAGTCTGGGAACACTTCTATCTCTCTCCAGAGCATTCTCTCTAGTATTATAAATACAGCATTGTACTCTGATAGGAACGTAGAATTATATTATTCTAAATTTATACAATGCTAAGAATTATATAGCAGTTTAGCTTTATCTTCTCATTCTATCTTCTGCCGGTGTTTTACTTATCTGTACAGTTCTTCATGATATCAGAGCCAATGGCTGAATCAGCAGTCATATACCATTAGAGCAGATGTTCTTTCTTCATCATCCATGACTGACATCAGAATTCCATCATCCGTCAAGTTTCTCATGTCAGATATCAAGACAGTAGCTAATATTCAACTAATTGCTGATAATGAACCCATTTGGCACTCACAGATTGAGAAGCTTTTCAGAGCAAATGGTCTTGAAAATTTTCTAGATTGGTTAACTGTTTGCCCACCAAAAAAAATTCAAGATTCTACCTGTCACTACTCTAATTCAGCTTACTTAACATGGCGACTAATTGATCAAAACCTTTCAGCAGCTATCTACTCAACGATCTCCTCCCGTATATCCTAAACTTCGACTCTACATCAGCAATCTCGAGTACACTGACTAAGAGACTCCAATCCAAAAACAGGTCGAGAGTTCTACAGCTCAGAAACAAGCTTCATCATATCTCCATGAAAGACCGCTCCATGACTCAGTATATGTTATGTACTAAGTCTCTCGCTGACAATATCATTACTGTTGGTGGGTACATTGATCAGGAAGATATAATTCTTCACATATTTAATGGTTTACCTTCTACTTATCAGGCATTCAAGAACCGCCACTAGAACCCAATTTGAACCCATTGCTCTCGATGATCTATACTCACTATTATGTAGTGATGAAATCAATATTGCTGCAGAACACACTAAAGAATCCAATGAAGCTGCCATTGCTCCTTACACTTCTGTTTCCAGAGGAGGTCTTACCAACTCAATGGGTTGAGGAAGAGATAACACGGGTTCAAGAAAAGGAGCTGCTTCAACCATGAACAACAGGGGAGGTAGATCTTCCACTAATACTACATCCAGCCTTACATTTCAAATTTGGGGTAAAAATGGTCACACGGCTTTAATGCTGGCATCGGACAAATTTCACTTCCAATCTAACTACCAAATCTGATGTTGCTTTCATCAGCTCAACAACTAGCACACATGATGATTGGCTACTAGATAGTAGCGCAAAAACTCATCTTACAGCCGATCCTGACAATCTACAACAAGCAATTCCTTATCATGGCAATGATAATATCTCGGTTGGTGATAGCACAACTCTTCCTAAAACCTCTACAGGTTAGTGTATTTTACCTAGACCACAATGTACATTTCTTCTTCCTAAACTTATACACTCTCCTCTACTTGCACCAAATCTTCTCTCTGTTCATAAATAAACAACTGATAATGCTGCACTGTTTCGTTGGAGAAATCTGGTTTTTCTATTAAGGATCGGAGGGCAAAGAAACTCATCCGTCGAGGCCAAGCAGGAAAGGCCTGGATCCCATCACAGCCCTATCTGCAGTCAAAGGAATGGTCTGTATCCTATCACAGCCCTATCTGCAGTCAATGCTACCTCTTCAACTCCTCTGTTATGCCACATCGAGAGGTTGCAGCTCTCATCTCCAAGCATGTTGTTTCTACATTTATTCCTATTTTTTCTTTTCTACTTAATGACTGTAACTCCGGCAAAAGTCACAGGCAGCCCTTTTCTTATTCAATGTCTATATCTAGAGTTCCTTTTGAGCTTTTGCACTCTGAGGTATGCGAACCAGCCCCCAATATCTCTTCCAATGGGTATAAATACTATCTATCACTCATAGATGATTACTCACGTTATTGTTGGATACTTCCAATGTTTGTCAAATCTGAGACAACTATTAAAATCAAATCCTTTCTCAATCTAATTAAAAATTAATTTCACACTTGTATTAAAAATTTTCGCTCTGACGGAGGAGGTGAATATCTCTCTACAAATCTACAGAAATATTTCCCCTCAAATGGAATTCAACACCAATTCAGTTGTCCTTGTACACCCCAACAAATGGTATTGTCGAATGCAACCCTACTTCTAACGGCCCAACTACCTCTTCAATTTTGGGTTGCTGCTCTTCTCACAACATCTTATATCTCATAAATCGCATGCCATCTAAAACCAACTGCTACAAATCAACTTATGAGCTCTTACATCGCTCTCCATCTACATACAAACATTTACGCGCTTTTCGATGTCCATGTTTCCCTGGCAAAAACCTCTACTTCGTAATATACTGCTTCCAACAGCTCCAACCTGCATCTTCATTGGCTACTCCACTTCCCATACAGGATATTGTTGCTTTAATCCTCACAATGAAGAGTCATTATCTCTCCCATATTACCTTCAATAAAAATATATTTCCAACTCTCCCTCAACCGACACCATCCATTTCTCCTTCATCTCAGCTACCCTCGTCACTTCTTACACCTATCTCTACATCATTTTCCAAACCATTTGTTGTTATAACTTCTTCACCACCAACTGTAACTTCCACATTCACCTCTCAATTATCTAAAGAGCAAAGGCTACTTCATGAGTACAGCAGACCCTTCTCTCTAAATCTATCAAAACAAACACATTGCATCTACCAATTTATCTATGTGGATGATATACTTCTCACGGGGAGTGAGTCATCAACAACAAATACTATTCTTCATGACTTGCGGTCTGTCTTTCATCTCAAAGAATTTGGGGAAGTTAACGTCTTTCTAAGAGTTCACTTACAACATAATTCCAAGGGATATTTTCTCAATCAAAACGCATACATCACATCTCTCTTACAGCAACTTGGAATGGAAAACTGTGATCCTCTGCCTTCTAAGCTGAAATGTGAGATTGCATCCAGCAACCATATCAGAACATCACTCAATACAGGAAATTTGTTGGCTCCCTACAATTTCTAACAGTTATCCGGCCAGACATAAACTTTGCAATCAATTATCTTTGTCAACACATGCATCAACCATTACTATATCATTTTAAACTCACGAAACGTCTCATGTGTTATCTTAAAGGTACTATTCTTCAAGGTCTTCAACTAACCAAGGGAGATCTACAACTCGGATGCAATTTGGATTCGGATTGGGCAGGAAATTTGGATGATCGAAAATCCACAACAGGGTTCTGTACATTCTTAGGTAATAATCTCATCTCTTGAACTGTTCAAAAACAAAAGATTGTTGCCCGGTTATCTACAGAAGCCGAATACAGGGCACTTGCAACTGCCTCCACTGACATCATCTAGCTAAGAAGACTTCTTCAAGAATTTCATATACTGATAGTATCAGCTACTCTCATTCACTGCAACAATACTTCGGCTATTTCTATTGCTCACAACCCTGTCTCGCATGCCAGAATGAAAAATATGGATATTGATCATCATTTTGTTCGTGATCATCTCCAGTCAAGAATAATCAAGCTACAACACATTGCTTCTCAAGATCAAATTGCTGATATTTTAACCAAGTGTCTACCTTACGCTCAATTCAGTAATCTTCACATCAAGCTCACAATCTTATCACCCGATTGTGATCTTGTGGAGAGGTAACAACCCTACAGCTATAACCAACCTCTGAGTATTTCAGGTGATATTCTCCATATTCTCTGTAACAACTTTGTCAGTCTGGGACCACTTTTATCTCTCCAGAACATTCTGTCTAGTATTATAAATACAGCACTGTACTATGAGGGGAACGTAGATTTATACTATTCTCAATTTATACAATGCTAAGAATTCTATAGCAGTTTAGCTTTACCTTCTCCTTCCAATCTTCTGCTGCTGTTTTACTTAACTATATAGGTCTTCAAAAAGAACAAGCAAAAGAATTCATTACACAGGATCATACTCTCGACACATCAATTTTTGACCAAATCAAGAGTAATTAATTAGCCAATGACACTATGTAATAAAAGAAATAATAGGACTTAAATTACCAAACTAGAGAAAAATTATACCCATACAAGCATAACGAGATGACCTCCTTGATAACATTTTCTTGTAATCCAATATTGAAACTTAAATGAGAAATTTTATGGAAGACAAAAGTTGAGAATTAATTACAATCCTCAGAACAACTGTTTTTAGACTCCTACTCCAAGGCTAGTAGATCAAGCTGGTAGAGATCGATCTTAATTTAAATTTAGATTAATCACAAAGTAATTTTGAAAATTCTTAAAGCATCCCAATTGCAACTAGAACATAACAATAATCCTGCACAAAAATAGAACGCCCCAACTTTCTGCTTTATAAAAACCACAAAAGCTAAATCAGCAAATAAAGTTCAAAAGATAAACCAAAGCAAAAAAAAAAATGCATATCCGCAAGAGCCCTTATCAACATAGTTAATCCCTCACATTCAAATGGAACCATTACCATCAACAAAAAAGCAAAAGCCCACACATCAAACATACCAACGGATATCTCCAAAAGTCGCATGAAACATGTAATTGAAACAAACAACTGCACTACCAACCATTCCCATTTATTATTGTTAATTTTTAAAACGAATTACAACAAAGAGCCATCACATCAATCTACCCGAGTTGAAAAAACTTTGCTCCAACAAACTGAA